TTAGTGGACAGCTATAGTGACTAGCAGTAGCATAAATCAGCCTGGCACAGACTGTAGAGAGGGAGGGAGAGAGAAAAAGAGAGACTCCAGACGGACCGCATTGCAGAGCAGACAGAGATCATAGCAGAGCATGAGTGTGGAAATGGAGGAGTGGAGCAGTTTGGGGATGGACGAGAGTGAGAAAGACAGCAGCACCAGTCATGATGAGGACGATGAAGAACCAGAGGACGAAGAACAACCTGACACAGAGGGACTGTGCAGGGAACTGGTGCAAGGTAATGCCTAAAGAAGAGGAGACTAGCGTGACTTATTCATAGGAGAGATCACATGCTGGGAGGCAGTGAGGAGAGACTCACTTTAGTGGTTAAAAAGGGCATTTAATGTCTGTGAAGGAATTTATTTGGCATTTTTTTGAGGTTGTCAGTGTTGTTAAACCTTAAAAGATGTTGTGACATTGTTTTGTCCTTGTTTTTATAATGCTTAAAGCACATGGGGTTCTGAACATGCGAAGTGTTTTGACCTTGTGGAATGCATCTCTAATAGACATACTGTACATTAGGTGTATAATAGGATAAGCTGCATATACTTTTAACTATTGATTTGTTAGATGATTTCTAATAAGCTCAGTGTGTCAATAAATTCTTATTATCATCTGCAAAGGAATGTGCTTGTCTTTTTCTAAGGTTTCTGTCTTGTTTTACCTTTAACGTGGTATTTTTGTACAGTGGGATTTTGTCTGATCAAGTCATGTATTTTTAATCTTGCTGATTGCATCTCTAGAATACAGAATATATTAGGACAAACTGCTGACTTTATTTATGAGAGCGTTAATTATGCAGAACATGTCGGAAAATAGTCATTATCGGCTACAAAGGAATTTATGTGACTTTTCTGAAGTCCTTGGTGTTTTTGTATAGTGTGATTTTTCTCATTGTGATGGAAACGCATGAGGTTCTGGACTGACGATCTGACGTGTTTTTGACCTTGTGGGTTGCATCTCTAATAGACATACATTTGCAGTATATAATAGGATAAGCTGCACATATTTTTGACTTTATTAATTTATTAGATGATATTGAATAAGCACAGCATTTCAATAAATTCTCATTATCATCTGCAAAGGAACGTGCTTGTCTTTTACTGAGGTTTCAGCCTTGTTTCATCTTTGGTGTTTTTGTACAGTGGGATATTGTCTGAGGAATCGAGTTAAGTAGTTTTGACTGGATCTCTAGACTACAGAATATGTTAGGATAAACTGCTGACTTTATTTATGAGAGCGCTATTACGCAGAGCATGTTGGCAATAGTCCTTATCAGCTGCAGAAGAATTTATGTGACATTTCTGAACTTCTAAATGTTATTTCACCTTAAGCATATTGTATGATGTTTTTGTACATTGTGATTTTCTCATTATGATAGAAACACATAAGGTTCTGGACTGACTGACTGAGTTTTTTTTTTGACCCTGTGGATTGCATTTCTAATTGACATATAGGAGGATAATAGGATAAGCTGCAGATATTTACACTTTATTAGTCGTAGAGTGTATTAAATATGCATAGCATGTCAGTAAATTGTCATTATAAACATTATAAAGGAATTTACTTGAGCTTTTTTGAGATTCTCAGTGTTATTTCACCTTAAACATGTGGCTTTTGTACAGTGTGATTTTGCCAGAGTGAGGTGTTTTTGACCTTGTTGATTGCATCTTTAAAATACGGAATATATTAGGGAAAAATACAGATACACTCAAGAAAGGACTTTTATAAAATGAGCTCAAACAAGACAGTTATTGAGATTTTTTTGGGGACAACTTGATAGTTTTCTACACTTAAATTTGTTAGTTAGCCTAATTAATTTGTTTTGGAACATCATAAATTAATTGTGTGGGACCCTACATTTTTTACAGTGTTTGTTTGACTTTATTCATGAGAGCGCTGAATATGCAGAGCATGGCAGTAAATTCAGACTTTCATCTGTAACTGAATTTTTCTGAGGTTCTCATTGTGATTACAGTGTTTTTGTGTAGTGTGATTTTGTCCTTGTTTCTCATTATGATGGAAATATATGAGGTTCTAGACTGACCGAGTGAGGTTTTCAGTTGATTTGCATCTCTAAAATATAGAATGTAGCTGGATAAATACTGAACAGTCATTTTTATTAAAGTGAGCTAAATTAACTGGCATTAGTTTTATAATTTTTAAAATTAGCATAATGTAAATTTAGTTTTTTTTTAAACTATATTTTTAGATTTTAATGCAATATTACAGTGGAAAAGACAAGCATAATTATATTATAAAGTATAAATAATATCAACTTAAGCACATTAATAATGTAAAAACATTCTGAAGATAATATTTGTTTAGTACAACTACTCTTTCAATGTCAAGGTAATTTATTTATAAAAATTTGCATAGAATTTTAAGAACAGAACTTAAAAACCTTTTAATAGTTTTTTTTCTGTCAGGTATACATTAAAGGATACAACATTCATTGCCTGTTCCTGAAGGCTAATTCACTTTAATCTGTCCAGTCAGTTTATCCTGCCCACAGAAGCTCAGTCCAGTATTAGTAGTATGGACTGCTGTCTTAATGTCCCTAATTCTGTCATTGACGTAAATCACACTCCTTTTAGGCCAGGTGAGCAGATTTAGCAGCGACAAGATCACTGACCCAGGACACATACTGACACTAATGATTACTCTATATACAATCTGCTTTTGCTTCAAGATTTGTGTGAGAAAAATGACAGTTTAAGTTTCTAAATATCTGCCAAAAACCCATCATCTGCATTCTGATTCTGAGTAAATTAGGTCTGGGTATACCCTTGTTTATTTAATATTTTTTGTCTTTCTGATGTTTATGATTTGTTCTTTGAAATGTTAATAATGGCTTATTTATTTTGTTATCTAAATAGCGTGCAATGATATGCTCAGTTTCATTTGGGAATTTGCATTAAGTTTTTTTTTTTTTCCTGTCGTCAGCAACTTTATCAGGTCTTTTTAATTTGACTTGCTATCGCCTGTTTTTTGCAGTGCATTTGTGTGCCTCTGGTGTTGAAGGTTAAAGCTTTATTACTGTAGCTTCTGCTGAGTTGCCATTCGCAGAGCAAGAAAACGCTGCCAAGCTCTTATTTTAGCAAACTCAAACACGCCTCATTCCAGTTGAAATTTGATTATGCCTCAAGGAAAAACAAGAACCGACCGAGTGGAAATACCTGTCCTGAAAAAAGACAGCAAAAAGATATTGTATTTATAAGGGGAAAGATAAAATGAAATAAAAAGTTTGCAGTTTTTATATTTAAAATAGGTACCCAAGTGTTGTTGTTGCATGCCTTGGTGGTCCAATCAATGTCGTTGTGTTCCTTAATGTACATTATTTATGGATATATTTCATAAGTGACATACTACAACATAAAACCAAATGTCATTTAGTATTTTATTTAATTTTTATTTTTAAAAATGTAATTTTTATATTAGTTTATGAACTTTTTTTTTAAGAAAATGAAACATACACCCTGTAATCTGATCTGAAAAATAAGGTATTATTGTTTTTTTCCACACATTTATAAAACAAGACATTTGCTGAATTTTAATATTTTTTAATTCATATTTGAATTTACATTTTTATATTTAATACAGTAGTAACTGTAATTTTATGATAATTTTATATAGTTTTAATGCATGTTGCACAATGTAATACTTATAATTATATTATGATATATATTTAAAGGTGCAGTATGTTAGTTTGACACCTAGTGGTTGAACTAGGTATTGTATTTCTGGATCAAAACACTTGCAAGTGCAGGTTGCCAGATTGAGGACCAACAGGATGCTGGATGCTGATTTAGGGCTACTTTAAATCATGTTCTAAATAAAAGCAATGACACATGATAGAAGGGATATTTTCATATGAAAGGGAGTTTTTGTCCTAACCAGTACTGGTATTTATATTTTAGAAACGATCTCTATTTTTTTTGCAGCTGAACAAAAATAAAACTTCATCACATGATCACTTCAGGTACACCTCATGTGCTTTATTCAGTGCTAAATGCTAATAATGTGAGTTTGAATGCCATTTTACATTTTACAATGCCATTTTGTGAGTGAGTGCATATTCTGTGCTTCTTAATGGCTGTCTGGCGCAAACAGCCAAATTGCTTATCACTGCAAATCTCATCAAGTAGCGTACAGCTAAGACACAGGGTTATAATGTAACCTGCTCACCTAATGTTTACGTTTGTAATATTTATATTATTTGCTAAATAATAACCACCTCATGTGGAACTCTGAATCTGTGTCTCATATCGGAGTCTGCTACCGTCCACCAGAGGTCGCATTTCAGTCACGGGCACATGCTTCGAGAGCCTTTCTGACTGAATGAATCAAATACAGTTTTCCACCAAGGCAACCTGGGGTGCTAAAAATATAATTGGCTAAACTGGCATTGGGCAGGTTAAAAGAATTAAAACAAACACAGAAGTTTCAACACGTAATGCACATTTTCAAAGCAGAATTTCTGACTTTAGCATTGATTTTCTGATAAACAAGAATGTACACTTAGCATGTTTCTTAAATATCTGCAAACATATTATGGTATTTTTATGCTTTAGAAGAGCCAAACTCTTGCATATAGCACCTCTAATGAAACGTCCCTAGCTGGAAATCACAAGATGCAGGCCTAATAGGTTTTGATCATTAGGGATGAATGTGAGAGAATTAACTCTTAATATGGATCAGATTGAGAGGCTCTTGTTTTTGTCTGCACAGACTAGACGTCTCGTCTCGACTGGGTCACATTGACTCTGCAGTGCTGTATGCAGAGACTTTTACATCTCTTTTTGATGTATTTGAACACCAGATGTGTTTTGACGGTTACAGTGACTTTATCTAGCACAATACTTTTATTGTATTTAGTTTTTTGTCTTTCATTATGAGCCCGTGAGCCAGCCCTATTCTGCTTTTTCTCATTCTTTTATGTGTTTTTTTTTGTTCTCTGCAGTGCTGTGTTCAGAGAGAGTTGGTCAAATCACAAAGGCATATCATGACATTGAGGCGGTTACACATCTGCTGGAAGAGGTGAGAGAGCCCATATCTTTTTTACAGTCTCAGATTTTGGTGCAAATGATCATAGAAGCTCCATTCATGAGATGATAAAAGTCCCACAACTGCATGTGTTTCACTACAGAAAGAGCGAGATCTGGAATTGGCAGCCCGGATTGGCCAGTCGTTGCTAAAGAAGAATAAAACCCTGACTGAACACAACAAACTACTGGATGAACAGCTGGAGAGTACCAAGGAAGAGGTCTGAATTGTTATACTGTAGATAGATTTAACAATTAAAAAATACAAGTAAAACCATAAAAGTAAAACCATTTATTGTAATTAATTAAATGTTAAAGGGGTCTTATTATGCTTATTATGGGGTGGGAGGGGAAGCACTTTTTTTGTGTGTGCATATTTTACATTATTACAAAACCTTTCTACCTAGCCTGGCACAAACGGCTCCATTAGTTTTGGGTTTGACACTTAGGCTGCATTTACACTGCAGATCTTGATGGTCAGTTCCGATTTTGTGACTGTATCTGATTTTTTTTGATGACCTGCTTACATCATCTTTTAAAAGTGACTCGTATCCGATCGTCTGCATTTACACGGCAAATGACCAGAAAAAAAAAAGAGTGGGCGCTGACTAACAGCTGATAATTAAAGAGTGCTCTTCTATATTCCTAATCTGTTTGCAGCTTTTGACAGACTGTTTACTAGTTTATGACAGAAAGGTTCTCAGTCCATCTTCTTTTAATATATAGGCTTTTTTTTTTTTTTTTTTTTTTTTTATAAACCTTTTGGCATCTTAATGTAATGTCCATGGCATGAACATGCTTAAATACCTGTGCTATATGACTATATAGAAGCTGTTTTAGTCCTCGTGTATGAGATTTAGAGTTTGGGACTCTGCTGAAGTTTTTTTTTTATTGTATTGACTGAACATTTCCAGTCAAATGCATAACAAGTCTTACACATTTTAGCATACCGTGTAAACAAAGTATATATATATATAAAAAAAAAATAAGGAGAGAAAGAAAAATAAAACAAATAAAGAACAAGAGCTGGTAAACATAACATTTACCATAGAGAAAAGGAGTTTAGCTTTTTAAGTATATTCACAGTTCTGGTTGCTTTACGACTTCTAAGTCCTTTAAGAGTTTCAAAATAAATGGTTGAATCAGCCATAAAATGGAAGATGTTAGGCTTCCTCTCGGACCATTTACACTTGTGTATGAAACTTGCCCAATAATATCAGCAGATTTAACATAAACAGGAGATTCTTATCTATATCTTTTTTTATCTGTATAAAATATGGCATCTCTTTTCTTAATAATAATTCTATGACAACTCAGTATATTAAATAGACATTCAACATCAAACCAGAAATATTTCTGCTGAACTTCTGAACTGAAAGTGTCAGACTTGATGTCGCTATGGTTTTTAATGATGCGCGACTCTCATTGACAGGTGAAAATCTGATCTGCCTGCTTACATTGCCGACACGAGGGCACAGATCCGATTCATATCAGATAAATTTCCACATATGAACAAGGCCAGAATCTGATTTGAGTAAATCGGAATTCATGTGATTTGTTCTTGCTTACACATACATGGGCCATATCCGATCTGTGCCACATGGAAGAAAAAAATCGGACGTGAGTCACTTGAACAGTGCAGTGTAAATGCGGCCTAAATGACATGATGTGCAACTGACGTGCCTTGAATGCAACTGTGATTGGTTGTCTATCATATAGACCAGACAAAAAGTTATGCTCAGGCACCCACAGTCTTGCTGCTTTCAAGAGCTCAAAATATGTCTTTTTGTAAGCAGCACCGGTTGCTTTCACTTTGAACAGATTATTAATTGGCCCTAACCATGTGCGTGTGGTCATCCTTTCATCATCACATGCAGTATGTTTTTCACCTGCTTTCTTTTGCGTGCAGTTATTTTTGTTTATATGGTTTAATTTTCACTTTTTTACAACAAAATTGCTTTAACATGAGATTCGCTCTCCATTTATGGGCAATTAAGGTGATCTGAGAGATCTTTAGCACATGTATTTAGTGATACATGACAATAATTAGTTTTAAAAGTCAATTGTTTTCCTTTGTTTTTGTTTTTTAAAGAAATGTTTTGTTAAATAAAAATTATTAGTATACAGCTATATTTAGCTTGTTTTGATGCATTTAAAATATGTGGCTAAGAAATAATTATTGTTTGGTGTAGTCTAAACTAAATTTGGTAAATCCATAATTTTGAGTTCTGAAAAGTCATGTGAAATAAAAACTGTTTGTTGTATAACACTATGAAACCATGACCCATTTGCTCATACACGACACACATAACGTGAAATGAATGAGGGGACAAAACTAAATCTAAACCAAGTCATTTTAGCTTGTCAAATTCATATTTAGGGCGACACAGTGGCGCAGTAAGTAGTGCTGTCACCTCAAAGCAAGAAGATAGCTGGTTCGAGCCTCTGCATTTCTGTGTGGAGTTTGCATGTTCTCCCTGTGTTCGCGCGGAGAATTGTACAGGTGAATTGGGGAGGCTAAATTGTCCGTATTGTATGAGTGTGTGTGTGTGTGTGTGTGTGTGTGGATGGAGATGGGTTGCAGCTGGAAGGGCACCCTAAGGTAAAAAAAAATGCTGAATAAGTTAGCGGTCTATTCCGCTGTGGTGACCCCGGATTAATAAAGGGACTAAGCCGACAAGAAAATGAATGAATGAATGAAAGAAGTCATTTTTATGCATATAAAAAATATTTCACCAACACCAAAATTGTGAAAATGAAGAGTGCATAGTAAAAATGCAGAGTGGCTAATAACATTTGAAAACTACTAGCCACTGTGGCTGGTGATCAAAAAGTTAATGTCAAGCCCTGGATATAATGAAGATTTTTGCATAACAACACAGCAGGGCTTTATCCATCCCAAACACTCAACGTCAAGAGAGTCTCGATAAGCAAATATAAACTGCACACTCATGACTTGACTATATCATTAGTGAGGATGTTTGTCTCACTGGGCATTGCATAACTTTATATCTGTTTATCCTTTAATGATGTCTATGCCTAAATATTTATCAATTAAAGGGGTTATCAACAATTAATCTATCATTTTGCAATCATTAACTTCCCTAGTTCAAACCCTTGTGTTAGTGTTGTGTCATTTAAAGCAGCATTTGAGTTCAAATATCTGGCATGTTTCATAAGTAGATTTGATATGATGCATTAAAATAGACTTTAAGGCTGATCGTGAGTCTGTTCTCACAGATTGCCCAGCTGCGCCATGAGCTCTCCATGAGAGATGATCTCCTGCACTTTTATGCCAGCACTGAAGATATAGAGCACGCCACAGAAACACTGTAAGTCTAACACACAGACACACACACCTATGTGTCTATGTGATCGACAACATTGTTCTGCCATATACTGATAACTGTTTTCTCCACTGTCAGGCTTATAAGGAACGATTCGTCGTCATCTCTCAGCAACTACATCAATTATGACTTCCTGCAGCAGAAACTGAAAGGTCTGGAAGAGGAGAACTTCAAGCTGCGCACAGAGGTGTGTTTGCATTCATACATACAGTCAGTGATGGGTTAGTTACTTTAAAAAAGTAATTAATTAGTAATTACATCATTAAAAGTGTGCAATTAGAAATTGCTTTTCTAATTACTTCAAAAATTACTTAGCTGACTTCGCAGTACTTAAAATTACTATATATCTCAACGCATAGAAAATAGAAATTAAAAACTGATTTGATTGCTGAAATTTGAGTCAATCGTGGTCTTTAGTTTATTTAAAAAAAGCAATTAAGATTAAATAATGTATATATCATAACACAAACTACATGCCATATTATCATTAATTTCTTACTCAAGTCATTGCTACTAAGCATGTGCAATTGTGAGATAAATGTAACCTCCTTTAGTTGAAAAAGGTAATTATCATGCAAAATATCTGAATAACAATTGTATAAATTCATGAGCTTATTTGTCACTCGATTATTTTTTCTTAAGCATGTGCAGTTGTCTTATTGAATATAACTTTCTCTAGTTGAAATACAGAATTATTCTGCAAAATATATTTGTATAATAAAACTCGAATACAAATTTATACAATACGGTTTGATTTATATAAAATATTTATAGCAAATAACTGTAATTAATTACCCAAAATAAAAAGTAATACCTTACTTTAGTTTTTCAGCAGATTTGAATACATTAACTAATTACTTTGTAACTTAACACACCAAACACTACATAATCTAAAAAATATGCATATAAAAAAAATAAGTAGGGGAGAGCAGGGATGAAGGTAACAAAGAGATTTTCCTCAACAGCAGATTCAGCATGCAACCCTTGATGGACCTGACAAATATCACTTGATTTCGGCACCGTGTTCTGCAGTTAGCTCTGAATTTCAGTTTTTTCTCATTACAAGTTGTGTTTCTATTTTCATGTGTCACTCTAATGATCTATCTACGAGTTATTTAGCACAATAACAAATCCTCTTGAAATCTCTACGTTTTTCAATTTAAAAGTAAATCAGATTTAAATGGCAAAAGTTCCTCTGCGGACAAAAGACTGTTTTTTATGTCCCACTGCTAATAGGCATACCTTATTTTTCGCTTCAACAATAAAGGTTTTCAGTGTATTGCTTAATATGTTTTATAAAAATAATACATAATGCTAATAATATTCAAGAAAATTGTAGACAATTTTAACATTGTGCATTGTTGCATTGCTTTTGAAACATCTGATGAAGCTGAAATTTAAAAATGCAGTTTAATATTTATGCAGATAACAATAAGAAGGTCATATATACATATATATTTGTATATTGCATTATTGTATATTTAAAATAAACAAGATTGTGCAAGTCATTCTTATAAATATTGTTGTGTTACTTTTGTCCCTACTGATGGGGTCAAAAGTAACAATGTGCAATTTATGTTTAAAGTGAAATTATTTTGAAGTTCTACATTTCTTCAAAAAACCACCCAATATTGATAGACCACACTTATGAGTTAGTGACCACAGCAAATATATATATATATCAGTCTGAAACATCTTTTAAAAGTAGGTTTTTATGAAAAATTGTTCTTTCCTTCCCACTCTCCCTTATGTGTTTTTACACCCATCCTTTTTTTTTAGGCAGATGAATTAACATTCGAGACCAGCAATTATGAAGAACAAGAGCAAAGGCTGATGATGGTGTGCGTGGATGAACTCAGTGAGTAAATTACCCACAATGCTGAAGAGCGTCATTCGGAATCTCCAAAAAGAATTTCTATAAAATAGCTAACTAACTAAACTTTCCTTATCCTCTTTGTCTGATCAGCGTCAGCGAATAAGCAGGTCGTGTCTCTGTCAGAGGAATTGGCGCGTAAGGTGGAAGATTCCTTAAGACAACAAGAGGAGATTAGTGCTCTACTGGGACAGATTGTTGATCTGGAGCAGCGCTACAAAGTGGTGAGACATGCTAACACCAACACAAACAGAGAGACTCTTATTTCTTTATTACACCATTTCTTCACATTTTGGAGTTAGAAGGTTCTATCTGACTATTGTGAACACAACGAATCCTATATTATATTATATTATATTATATTATATTATATTATATTATATTATATTATATTATATTATATTATATTATATTATATTATATTATATTTTATTATATTTTATTATATTATATTATATTATATTATATTATATTATATTATATTATATTATATTATATTATATTATATACATTGTATGTTTTAAATTGACAGATTTTCTTTAAATGTATGCCAAAAATCATTGGAATATCAAGTAAAGATCAAGTTTCATGAAGATGTTTTGTAGCATAAATTCATTAAAACTTAACATTGATTAAGCACTTAGACAATTAGACAGTTTCAAAGGTGATTTCCTCAGAATTTAGATGAACCCTCATTCTAAATATTCCAATAGTTGTATCTAGGACAAATTGTATCTGTTCTATCCATCTAAAACCATACATCAATGTAAACTTTTTTATTTTCGAAAAAAAAGTACCATTAGGACGACATTTTTGTGATCCAGCCTGATCACATATTTGTATATAAAAAATAGAGTAATTTAGTTATCTATTTTATTGATTTACATTTTATGTCATGTTTGAGATCATTTTATTTAGAAAGCTAAAAGGTTTCATCTAAATGAACCCATCAAACTTAAACTTTATAAAGTTCTAATTGTGAGCCAACACTGACAAAAATGATTTAAAAATGACCATTTGGATTTACTTATTTCTTTTTTTATTATTAGTTAGTTGTAAAAAATAATTTGGTCTGACTTTAAACAATGTGTATAAATAGAGTATTGACAGGAATATATAGAGTATATATAGAGTATTTACAGGAAATCGTGGAGAGCAGAGAGAGGGAAAGGATCAGCATAGGACAGGGATGGGCAAACTTGATCCTCGAGGGCCGGTGTCCCTGTTTTGTTCCAACACTAGTCAAACCTGACCAAACTAATCAGTGTCTTCATGATCACTTGAACTCTATAGGGAGTTCTGTTTGAATAGGGTTAGAGCTAAACTGTGCAGGACACCGGCCCTCCAGGACCGAGATTGCCCAGCCCTGGCATAGGACCTCGAGACAGTAATCGAACACGGGGGTTTCGAGAGCACTGCAGTGCCAAGTGTTGACTCACCAGCTACTACGCCACTGGTGCCAACAACACATATAAATTGTTTGCAACAATTTTGCAGATTTTTCATTTTTTTCAGTGAATCAGCACTTCGAAATTTAAATGCATTTAATAACATCTCAACCATTTGAAAAATGAGTTCTTCAACACAATGATTTAGAGGTGCTTTTGTTGTTTTGTGAGATTTTAAGTTAAGATTATTAGACATTTTAAGTTATTAGTAAATTTAAATATGCAGTATATATGTGAAGCATTGTCTGTTTTTCTTTTATAAGTCTTAATAATTGTACAATTTAATTTTACGATATAAAGGCTTTAAAGGTCAAATAGCCAACATTTTAAAATTTGAGGATTTTGAAGCTTTATATTCCAACTACCTTTCATGTCTTTGTCATTTTTATGCAGAAAAGAGGCTTGTTTCTGACATAATATTTCTAATTGGAATGCACAACTGTAAAACGCATTATCTCAGAACTGTCCAGTATGCAAATAGAACCTCATAATTTCAAGGTGGCAATTTCGAGAATACATTTGCATAAATACATACCATTTCCATCCATATTCAGCTCAGCACAGAGAACGAGGAGTTAACGCAACATCTGAATGCCTCTCGTGAGTCTCAGTCGCAGCTTAAAACAGAGGTAAAATCCAGCACAATTTGTCTCCCAACAGCGTTTCACATTAAGAATGAACAGTTTTGTGCTTAGTGTTGGTTATTGATGTTGTTTCTCTCTCTGGCGGCAGCTGAAGGAACTGCAGGAGAGATACTCGGAGTGTGAAGACATGCTTCACGAGGCCAGAGAGGACATTAAAAACCTGCGCAATAAGAGTCTGCCTAACAGCACAGTGCAGAGGTACAGCACACTGGCAGCTGTCTTTCCAATGGATTCACTTGCTGCTGAGATTGAAGGAACCTTCCGGAAAGGCCTAGACAGTCCAGCACCTACTGAGTACAAGTTAGTCACCTGAGTACATACAGCTACTGTTCAGTTACTTCATGAACATTTAAATGTTTTTTTTTTTTTTTTTAATTTTAAGGTTTCATTTATCTAGATTTGTCTACTTAATTATTAAATTAAGGGTGCTTACTAGAGACACATATCCCATTAGACGAGCTAAGACACGAGACTGGGTTCATGAAAACAAGACGAGATTTTTAGACTTTAAAGAAATCTTTAGTGCTAATATATATTGAAAAAATAGCCTTTTATTTTACTAAAAAGGTGCATTTTGAAATCAGCTTCTGCTTTATGAAATAATAGTTTTATTTTAATAAATTGTATACAGAAAAAAAAAACATATAAACAATGCAAAATGCTTTCCCACAAATTCAACTGACAGGCAGTTGCATAAAATATTCTATATATTATAAATTAATAATAATAATAATAATAATAATAATAATAATAATAAATGGCACAAGATCTCGTCACACCTCTAGTTTACCAAAGGTTTTACTGAAAAAAAATAAAAAATAAAATAAAATACATTAATCTTGTGAAATATGATTTTCTAAAAAAAATAAAAAACGCTGATTTGGTTAATTTATTATGCTACATATTATATTATTTTGCCTATTTGTGTTATGTTTAATTATTATTACTGTTCTTCTTCTTCTTATTGTTATTATATAAAATTAGGGCTTGACAATAATACCAGCCAAATGCAGGGAGATTTCAGCAGTGGCGGGTAAGACAGTTGCTCCCTCTAGCCACTTTGACTGGTTGGAAATAATTTTTAAATTGTAGTTTTCTTAAAAAGTAGGGTACAACAATAAAAATGGCCCAATATTCATGCAAATGTAATTTTATAATCGAGAAGCAGCACAACTGACAAACATAACTGTGTTCGCGAGAGCAAAAGAAAGCAGGTGAGAATGAGAAGAGTATCACTCAGGCAGACAGGTAATGTGATGCGCGCGACTGTTTATAAAGTATGCATGCTTGCATTTCCTTCCGCCAAGCAACAATGCCTGGAAACTCAACTGGTGCAATTGGAAATTTACTGGACTACAGGTGATGCTCGTGCACCCATAGTCCTGCTGCTTTCAAAAGCTTGAGATAAAAAAAAAGTCTTTTTGTGAGCAGCAGCAGTTGCTGCTTTCGCTTTAACCATTCTTTGAACAGATTATTAACAGGGCTAATGTTAATATGATCATTCTTTTGTTATCACGCACAGTATTTTTTTCACCTGCTTTCTTTTGCTTATAGATATTTTTGTTAATATGGTTTAATTATATATATATATATATATATATATATATATATATATATATATATATATATATATATATATATATATAAATTGATTTAATAGGAGATTAACTGCCCATTTAGTTAAATGGTGATCTGAGATCTTTAGCCAGGACATGACTATGCGTAGTTTTAGATACATGACAATAATTTTTTTTAAAATGTAAATTTTTTTAAAGATAAGTTTTGTTGAATAAAAACTGCATATATACAGATATATTTAGCTTGTTTTGAAATTATTTATAATGTATAGCTAAAAAGTAATTGTTTATTTTTGGTGTGGTCAAAGATAAATTTGTTAAATCTTTAGTTTTGAGCCCTGAAAAGTCATGGGAAATAATAATTAGTTGTAGTGAAACAATACGAAACCTCAACCCATCTGCTCATACTTATTGAGCAAGGTGAAACACAACACACAATAAAGTTAAATGCTTGTGGACATGACACAAAATTTACAACAAAAGTAAAATTTATGGATAAAAAAATAATTTCACAACAACAAAATTGTGGCTAGTGAAAATGGTGAGTGGCTAGTAATGTTGGTAATCTGCTAGCCAAAGTGGCTGGTGATCAAAAAAGTTAACGTCAAGCCCTGTATACAATGTTGAAATTATCTTAAAATTTCTGTAGATTTTTTTGGATGAGAAGAAAGTTCAAAATGATAATATTTAGGGTTATTTTTTTTGTTACATTAGCTGCATTTTCATTCTCTTACCAACTTAAATGGCAAATTAAAAATAAGCCTTCTTTTAACACAACACCATTTACAAAATATCCTAAAACTTGTGCAAGACTGACTACAGTAAAAGTTTCTGTTGTCAGTTTGGATTAACTGAATCTGTTGAATAACAGTGTTCATTTCTATATACTTTCTTATTTTAATTAATTTAAAAAATCAATAAATAATGACCACAGAGCTTTGAATGGTAACGTATATTCAAAGAGCTTAGATATATCAATAGTAGACAGCAAATACTGAGTAAAAATATTAATTTATATATATATATATATATATATATATATATATATATATATATATATATATATATATATATATATATATATTTTTTTTTTTTTAATTTATTTAATTGTTTCTATAAACCCTTGGCGTGATCATCTGCTGAATGTTCTGTACAGGACTCATCCTCTGCGGGTGTTTGAGACTGTGAAGGTGGCCAATCAGGTGTCTCGACTGCGCTCTCAGAATCCCTCTCCTCAGCTTCCAGGTTCAAGCCCTACATCATTACGCTCCAGTCGAATCAGCACACCACGGACCAGCTATAATGAACCAGACAACATAAGCATCATCATGGAGGATAAAAACTCCCCTCCTACACACTCGCAGGATCATGGGTCAGTCTCCATTAAAAACATTTTCAGCTATTCATTAAGATTTTGTTGACAATTAAGTACATCCAGGAGGTTGTTATCGCAGAATAAAGCCTGACAAGCTTATCGGCTTCCACTTATCAGATACATGGCTTTTTGCTACAAAATATAAAAATGTTGCATCAGAACATCGTTCTGAGCCGTGATAGTTTATGAATACTTTAAATGCAAAACTGACAGGAATGAAAACAGCTGAATGGAGCTGATTTATCATACAATAACCTGCGCATTATACTTTAAATGCAAAGCTGACAGGAATGAAAACAGCTGAATGGAGCTGATTTATCATACAATAACCTGCGCATTATTCCATCACAAGATGGTGGCAAACAGTCAAAAACAGTGGCATGAGAGACAAGCTGATATTTATGAACGTAGATGTAGGTATATGGATGTGAACATATGCTTATTCACTGACATACAAGGTGATTTAAAGTTACCGGATGAGCCTGTGATATTTAGCGGTTGTTGTCTTGAAATAACATACCTTACAATGTTGCAGCTGACAAATCAGGATTAAATCAATTAAGTATTGCAGTCCAAATTCACAATAATAGTGAGGATTATTTTCACCCAGCCCATCCGAAGACAACTTAAAGCAAATTGCCAGATTGATAACACTAACAGGAGCGAGTGTGCCTGACTATCAACCTTATAACTTTAATCTGATCAGCTAATGTTTACTTTTGTTATATATATATATATATATATATATATATATATATATATATATATATATATATATATATATATTCTAATTGAAAACCACTTCATTAATTTAACGACTTAGACTGATAGTATTCCGCTGTGGATACCATCTTGTGGTCAGACATGGAAATTCATTCAGCGTGCAAACACTCAGGGCTCTATTTTGACAATCCAGGCGCAAAGTGCAAAGCGCAAGGTGCAAAAGCATTAAGGGCTTGTCAGAATCCACTTTTGCTATTTTAAGAACGGGAAAATCCGCTCTGCACCACGGCGCATGGTCTAACAGGGTTAAGCTTATCTTTTAATGAGTTATAGGTGTGTTTTGAGAATAAACCAATCAGAGTCTCATCTCCCATTCTCTTTAAGAGTCAGTTGCGTCGCGCCATAAGCGCATTTGCTATTTACATGGTGGACTTTGTAAGTGGAAAAACTGGAAATGGAAAACAGTTAAACAGACTATCTACAGCACGAGAATGAGAGATGAGCCGCCTTATTCTTTACTTTCACTTTCACTCTCGTGGATAGTGAAACGTGTTGTACGCACAGACATCCATAAGCCAACATAATTAATTTGGTTTATTATGCGCAAAGACTATTTCTAAATTCAGTTCTAATTTCCAGCAAACAAATAAATGAACAATAATAACGAAGTGTGTTAAAAAAACTAAGTTATATCCAAATAGACATGCTGTGCCCCATATGGTCTAAAACCTGACAGGTGGACAAAGCTTGTTTTTAATAAAACAAATAAACATATGCACTTAATAAATACTACTGCTACTATTACTAATGACATTATACAAAAGCAAACTGTCATGAATAAACTAAAAAAGATTTGAACCATTTGTAAACATTTGTAAAACATTTGTCAAGATATTTGCGTATTGCTGTACATCTTGTGTATATTAAGCAATGTGCAAGCGAGGCGCACAACTAACGCTCTCTGCGCTGGACTTTAAAACTCCTCTAAGCTGGCCTATTGAACAGATTATTTTAGTTCCTCAAAATAGCAACGCGCCAACAATGAGCATAAACGCACCTCCTTTTTTAGACCAGAACGCCTATGGGCGCACATATAAGCGAAAATGCATTTGCTATTTAAACCGCGTGGTGCAAAACGTCAAAACAATTCTTGCGCCAAGCTGAAACTAGCAAACAACAATTGCTTCACGCCTTGCGCCGCATTGTGCTGGGCTTATGATAGGGCCCTCACAGTGCACTATTGGTATTCCCTAGCCATTTAGTGTACATCCATGAAATGATGACGATTCATTCTTGAGCACTAAGTAAGCATATGGCTGCCGAAAGTCAAAGTTAAGGTCAAACATTTACATAGAGCTTACAGAATCTTCAAAAATGTTTTAGTTATTTTAAAATGCTGCATTAAGGTGGGAAGTAAAAACATTTTTTGAAGACTGGGGTAGATTTAATTACATCTTCTGTAGGGCATTTCTTAATAACAAATAACAAAATATCTTCATTCTGTTCAAATTATATGATTCTGTATTCATTATCTGACTCTTAATGTATTTTTAGAAGCCCTCAGAAGCAGGGATCATCAAACTTGGTCCTGGAGTGCCAGTGTCCCGGCAGAGTTTAGCTTCAACTTGCCGCAACACAGCCGCTTGGAAGTTTTCAAGTATACCTAATAAGACTTTGATTAGCTTGTTCAGGAGTGTTTAGGGTTGGAGCTATACTTTGCAGGACACTGGCCCTCCAGGAACAAGTTTGGTGACCCCTAAAATCTTTAACTTCGGTGAGCGTGTGAACTTTAAAAGTTGAAACTCAAAAATGTAGTCATTTTTTAAAAGCGTTTAAATACACAAGCATGCTGAAACACCACAATATTGGTTGCCCCTTAAGGGTTATTTTGAAGAACAGCAACTGTTTAACTGTTCAAGACAAAGTAACTCATGAACAATTGTCACTAACCCCTAAAAACAAACAGAAGAAAGACTCAATTGCATGGAAACTTTCAAAATTCAACCCTTATTTTCTCTTTTGTATGTTTATGTGACATCTTATTCAGGTCAGGGCTAAAAAAATATATTGAATTCTATATGATTCCTATGGAGCCCCTAAGGTGACGTCCAAAAAAAAAAAAAGACTTTTATCGTGTACACGCATATGTTATGCTTACATAATATCTGTCTATATCATATGCATGCAATATGATATGTTGTGTGTGCCCGATATGTTATGTCTATGTCATGTGCACTTGATACTCATTTCATGCGGTCACAATATGTATGTCTATGTCATGTGCACGCGATACCTATGTCATGCAGACACAATATGTATGTGTCTATGTCAAGTGTACATGGTATGTATGTTGTGTGCGTATGATATGTATGCCTATGTTGTGCACAATTATTATGTATCCTGTGCACATGACATAGTATTGTCTGTGCATTCAAAAGTTTTTTTTCCAAGTCACTTTAGGGGCTCCATAGATTTGACTTATTTTGGTGAAATAAAAAATGCATTTAATAATAAAAAAATAACTTTTTTTTAAAGATTCATGAACTTTATATTAAGAAGTCATAATCTGCATAGGTTGTTGGAGTCCAAGCGTTTGGGTCAGCCTGGTACTCCTGGTGGACAGGATCTAGAAGAAGCGCTGCGGTCTCTCTCGGAGCGTCAGGAAAGCCACACATCTGAGCGTCCGTTCTTCGAGGTGGAAAGGGAACGAAAGCTCCGCGCTCTGCTCAGCGGAAGCAGCGGCAGCGATGGTGGATCCAGCGGCTTCCTCACACCTAATAGCAGCACGGCGTCTACTGGAACAAACTACTCTGGCACCTCCACACATTCCTCTGGCACAGGATCCTCTCGCTCACATCTGCCCGAACGACTCCAGATTGTCAAACCACTGGAGGGTCAGTGAATACACACGCATACAGATAGAACTCATGTCATGAAAGAGGAACATCTAGATCAAACCAAAATCTAAATACAAGTGTAAAAATGTAATAGAATACATAAAACAAGAATCTGAAGGTAAACGATAATAATAATAATAATAATAATAATAATAATAAAGGTATATTTTGTAACCTTTTTTTGGTACATGCCATGTGAGTAAATTTTTTTTTTGCCATTATTAGGATATGGTAGTATTTAGACAAGAAGCAAAGTTCATTGGGATAAAGAAAAGTGTGCATGTCAGGGCACAAACACATGATGACCGAAGAGCAGTAGTGCGTTATTATGGTGCACTCAGTGGCAAAAAAATTCAAATTATAAGCAGTCAGACAAAAAATTACCTAAAAATTATCTTCATCTTATATTAAGATCTTTTTTGACAAAATGCATGCAGCTTTGATCATTTCTGTTTGGAAAGTATTTTATCTAAGGAAGATATTGGACTAACATCTTTCTCAAAAAGTTTGGAATTTTAGAAGTTTGGGTAGTCAAACATTTAATATTTAATATTTAATATTTTATTTTATTTATTTATTTATTTATTTATTTATTTATTTATTTATTTATTTATTTATTTATTTATTAATTTTTTTATTTCATTTTTAACACCAATAACATATTTTTTTTAGCATTTTAAGTATTTTAATTTATTATACCCTTATATAATTTTTTAACATAGTATTTTATTTTAGTGATCTGTAAACTGACCAACTAAAAAATATATTGTATAGAATGTATGTATACAATAACTATAAAGTAGGGCGAAGCAGTGGCGCAGTAGTTAGTACTGTCGCCTTACAGTAAGTAGGTCGCTGGGTCGCTGCTTCGAGCCTCGGTTCAGTTGGCGTTTCTGTGTGAAGTTTGCATATTCTCCCTCCATTTGCGTGGGTTTTGCGTGAATTAGGTAGGCTAAATTGTCCATAGTGTATGAGTGTGTGTTTGAATGTGTGTGTGGATGTTTCCCAGAGATGGGTTGCGGCTAGAAGGGCATCCGCTGCGTAATAACTAGCTGGATAAGTTGACGGTTTATTCTTCTGTGGCGACCCCAGGTTAATAAAGGGACTAAGCCGTCAAGAAAATAAAATGTATGAATGTGTATAGAATGTGTGTATAGAATACATTTTTAGCTCGATAGACATAAATCAGCCATGTAATTATTTGTAAAATAATATAGATTAATTCATTTTATAAAATCAATGAAATGTTATTTTTTTCAAAAATGTGAACTAGCTATCTTTTCTCTAAATATTGCAGCATTTGTAAATAGTGAAAATAATATTTGTTTGTTGACACTGTATATCTTACAACAAACATATACAATCAGGAACCTGCCATTAAACTGACTCCCTGAAAATACAAAAATAATTTTGCTATAAAAATGTAAAACGTGATTATCATAAAAGATATTTTGCATTATTGTTATTATTAATTTTATAGATATTATCAAGTATTATAAGTATTATTATGAATCAGTAGATCATCCTTCATCTTTTTTATCCTCAGGCTCAGCGACTCTGCACCAGTGGCAGCAGCTTGCAAAGCCCAATCTGGGGGGAATCCTTCTCCCACGACCGGGGGTCCTCACCAAAGACTTCAGAGAGCTGGATGTGGACTTACAGCAGGTCTACAGCCTCAATGACCTAGAAGAGGACGAGCCTGATCTGTCCCAATTCCCTAACCTCAGGCACGGCACTGTTGGTGAGAATACAATCAACTCTGTTGATTTTATTTGTATTTTCCGTTGCAGTATATATGCTCTTTACTGGTCAAAAGTCTTTTTTATTTTTATTTTATTGTACCATTTATTGGTTTAAAATTGTAAAATTTTTGAATATTATTACAATTTTAAAGAGCTCTTTTACCGTAATATACTGTAACATACTGTACAGGTAATACTCAAGTAATGTCACATGATCTTTTAAAAATTTCTTTGCCCAATTAATATTGCTACTTCATTATTATTACAAGCTTATCGGCTTCCACTTATCAGATACATGGCTTTTTGCAACAAAATATAAAAATGTTGCATCAGAACATCGTTCTGAGCCGTGATAGTTTATGAATACTTTAAATGCAAAGCTGACAGGAATGAAAACAGCTGAATGGAGCTGATTTATCATACAATAACCTGTGCATTATACTTTAAATGCAAAGCTGACAGGAATGAAAACAGCTGAATGGAGCTGATTTATCATACAATAAACTGTGCATTATACTTTAAATGCAAAGCTGACAGGAATGAAGACAGCTGAATGGAGCTGATTTATCATACAATAACCTGCGCATTATTCCATCACAAGATGGTGGCAAACAGTCAAAAACAGTGGCATGAGAGACAAGCTGATATTTATGAACGTAGATGTAGGTATATGGATGTGAACATATGCTTATTCACTGACATACAAGGTGATTTAAAGTTACCGGATGAGCCTGTGATATTTAGCGGTTGTTGTCTTGAAATAACATACCTTACAATGTTGCAGCTGACAAATCAGGATTAAATCAATTAAGTATTGCAGTCCAAATTCACAATAATAGTGAGGATTATTTTCACCCAGCCCATCCGAAGACAACTTAAAGCAAATTGCCAGATTGATAACACTAACAGGAGCGAGCGTGCCTGACTATCAACCTTATAACTTTAACCTGATCAGCTAATGTTTACTTTTGTTATATATATATATTCTAATTGAAAACCATTTCATTAATTTAACGACTTACACTGATAGTATTCCGCTGTGGATACCATCTTGTGGTCAGACATGGAAATTCATTCAGCGCGCAAACACTCAGGGCTCTATTTTGACGATCCAGGCGCAAAGTGCAAAGCGCAAGGTGCAAAAGCATTATGGGCTCGTCAGAATCCACTTTTGCTATTTTAAGAACGGGAAAATCCGCTCTGCACCACGGCGCATGGTCTAACAGGGTTAAGCTTATCTTTTAATGAGTTATAGGTGTGTTTTGAGAATAAACCAATCAGAGTCTCATCTCCCATTCCCTTTAAGAGTCAGTTGCGTCGCGCCATTAGCGCATTTGCTATTTACATGGTGGACTTTGTAAGTGGAAAAACTGGAAATGGAAAACAGTTAAACAGACTATCTACAGCACGAGAATGAGAGATGAGCCGCCTCATTCTTTACTTTCACTTTCACTCTCGTGGATAGTGAAACGTGTTGTACGCACAGACATCCATTAGCCAACATAATTAATTTGGTTTAATATGCGCAAAGACTATTTCTAAATTCAGTTCTAATTTCCAGCAAACAAATAAATGAACAATAATAACGAAGTGTGTTAAAAAAACTAAGTTATATCCAAAAACACATGCTGTGCCCCATATGGTCTAAAACCTGACAGGTGGACAAAGCTTGTTTTTAATAAAACAAATAAACATATGCACTTAATAAATACTACTGCTACTATTACTAATGACATTATACAAAAGCAAACTGTCATGAATAAACTAAAAAAGATTTGAACCATTTCTAAACATTTGTAAAGCATTTGTCAAGATATTTGCGTATTGCTGTACATCTTGTGTATATTAAGCAATGTGCAAGCGAGGCGCACAACTAACGCTCTCTGCGCTGGACTTTAAAACTCCTCTAAGCTGGCCTATTGAACAGATTATTTTAGTTCCTCAAAATAGCAACGCGCCAACAATGAGCATAAACGCACCTCCTTTTTTAGACCAGAACGCCTATGGGCGCACATATGAGCGAAAATGCATTTGCTATTTAAACCGCGTGGTGCAAAATGTCAAAACAACTCTTGCGCCAAGCCGAAACTAGCAAACAACAATTGTGTCGGGCCTTGCGCCGCATTGCACTGGGTGTATGATAGGGCCCTCACAGTGCACTATTGGTATACTCCAGCCATTTAGTGTACATCCATGGAATGATAACGATTCATTCTTGAGCACTAAATAAGCATATGGCTGCCGAAAGTCAAAGTTAGGGTCAAACGTTTACATAGAGCTTACAGAATCTGCAAAAATGTTTTAGTTATTTTAAAATGCTGCATTAAGCTGGGAAGTAAAACCATTTTTTAAAGACTGGGGTAGATTTAATTACAGAACATTCTTCTGTAGCTTCTGTAGGGCATTTCTTAATAACAAATAACAAAATATCTTCATTCTGTTCAAATTATATGATTCTGTATTCATTATCTGACTCTTAATGTATTTTTAGAAGCCCTCAGAAGCAGGAATCATCAAACTTGGTCCTGGAGTGCCAGTGTCCCGGCAGAGTTTAGTTCAACTTGCCTCAACACACCCGCTTGGAAGTTTTCAAGTATACCTAATAAGACTTTGATTAGCTTGTTCAAGAGTGTTTAGGGTTGGAGCTATACTTTGCAGGACACTGGCCCTCCAGGAACAAGTTTGGTGACCCCTAAAATCTTTAACTTTGGTGAGTGTGTGAACTTTAAAAGTTGAAACTCAAAAATGTAGTCATTTTTTAAAAGCGTTTAAATACACAAGCATGCTGAAACACCACAATATTGGTTACCCCTTAAGGGTTATTTTGAAGAACAGCAACCGTTTAACTGTTTAAGACAAAGTAACTTATGAACAATTGTCACTAACCCCTAAAAACAAACAGAAGAAAGACTCAATTGCATGGAAACTTTCAAAATTCAACCCTTATTTTCTCTTTTGTATGTTTATGTGACAAATCTTATTCAGGTCAGGGCTTAAAAAATATATTGAATTCTGTATGATTCCTATGGAGCCCCTAAGGTGACGTCCAAAACAACAACAAAAAAATGACTTTTATCGTGAACACACGTATGTTTTGCGTACATAATATCTTTCTATATCATATGCATGCAATGCGTGTGTTGTGTGTGCCTGATTTGTAAGTCTATGTCATGTTCACGCAATTAAGATGTTGTCCGTGCCTGATATGTTATGTCTATGTCATGTGCACTCGATACTCATGTCATGCGGTCACAATATGTATGTCTAGGTCATGTGCACGCGATACCTATGTCATGCAGACACAATATGTATGTCTATGTCAAGTGTACCTGACACGTATGTTGTGTGCGTATGATATGTATGCCTATGTTGTGCGCACGCATTGTGTATCCTTTGCACATGACATAGTATTGTCTGTGCATGTAAAAGTCTTTTTTTTACAAGTCATTTTAGGGGCTCCATAGATTTGACTTATTTTGGTGAAATAAAAAATGCATTTAATAATAATAAAATAACTTTTTTTTTAAAGATTCATGAACTTTATATTAAGAAGTCATAATCTGCATAGGTTGTTGGAGTCCAAGCGTTTGGGTCAGCCTGGTACTCCTGGTGGACAGGATCTAGAAGAAGCGCTGCGGTCTCTCTCGGAGCGTCAGGAGAGCCACACATCTGAGCGTCCGTTCTTCGAGGTGGAAAGGGAACGAAAGCTCCGCGCTCTGCTCAGCGGAAGCAGCGGCAGCGATGGTGGATCCAGCGGCTTCCTCACACCCAATAGCAGCACGGCTTCTACTGGAACAAACTACTCTGGCACCTCCACACATTCCTCTGGCACAGGATCCTCTCGCTCACATCTGCCCGAACGACTGCAGATCGTCAAACCACTGGAGGGTCAGTGAATACACACGCATACAGATAGAACTCATGTCATGAAAGAGGAACATCTAGATCAAACCAAAATCTAAATACAAGTGTAAAAATGTAATAGAATACATAAAACAAGAATCTGAAGGTAAATGATAATAATAATAATAATAATAATAATAATAATAATAATAATAATAATAATAATAAAGGTATATTTTGTAACCTTTTTTTGGTACATGCCATGTGAGTAAAATTTTTTTTTGCCATTATTAGGATATGGTAGTATTTAGACAAGAAGCAAAGTTCATTGGGATAAAGAAAAGTGTGCATGTCAGGGCACAAACACATGATGACCGAAGAGCAGTAGTGCGTTATTATGGTGCAGTCAATGGCAAAAAAATTCAAATTATAAGCAGTCAGACAAACAATTACCTAAAAATTATCTTCATCTTATATTAAGATCTTTTTGACAAAATGCATGCAGCTTTGATCATTTCTGTTTGGAAAGTATTTTATCTAAGGAAGATATTGGACTAACATCTTTCTCAAAAAGTTTGGAATTTTAGAAGTTTGGGTAGTCAAACATTTAATATTTAATATTTTATTTTATTTATTTATTTATTTATTTATTTATTTATTTATTTATTAATTTTTTTATTTCATTTTTAACACCAATAACATATATTTTTTTAGCATTTTAAGTATTTTAATTTATTATACCCTTATATAATTTTTTAACATAGTATTTTATTTTAGTGATCTGTAAACTGACCAACTAAAAAATATATTGTATAGAATGTATGTATACAATAACTATAAAGTAGGGCGAAGCAGTGGCGCAGTAGTTAGTACTGTCGCCTTACAGTAAGTAGGTCGCTGGGTCGCTGCTTCGAGCCTCGGTTCAGTTGGCGTTTCTGTGTGAAGTTTGCATATTCTCCCTCCATTTGCGTGGGTTTTGCGTGAATTAGGTAGGCTAAATTGTCCATAGTGTATGAGTGTGTGTTTGAATGTGTGTGTGGATGTTTCCCAGAGATGGGTTGCGGCTAGAAAGGCATCCGCTGCGTAATTACTAGCTGGATAAGTTGACGGTTTATTCTTCTGTGGCGACCCCGGGTTAATAAAGGGACTAAGCCGT